GAACAGGCAGTCTTGTTGTTAGGAGCATGTGCTCTCACCAGCTGAGCCATCCTGCCACCTGTTGGCAGCTCAGCTCGGGCACAGCGTCGCTGGCCTATGTGGGAATCGAACCGATGGCCCTGTTGCTCAGAGCTCGCGCTCTTAAGTTAACTCTTAACCTACTGAGCCACTCGGCCGGCCCTAGATTGTACACTTTAAAAGTAAGAACTTTGTGGTATGTGAACTAAATCTCAATAAAGCCATTAAAAATAAAATGAAAATGAAATTTATTAAAAATTTTTTAAAAACCAATGACAGCAAAAAAAAACAACCCACCAAAAACCTGTCTGAAACAGAATTCAAGGCAGTCAGTTCAAATGTACCAATCTTTTCATCAAAGTTATGAAACCAACGATCTTGGACTCTATTTTGGGGGGAAGCAGTATACCTAGAACATATTTGACCCGTGTCACCTTGGCATTGCAAGAAAACCCTGAAGCTAATAATTACCGGCTAACTCATGGCATTCATGAGCATCAGTATGGACTCTGATCTAGTTTTTGAGGACAAAATTATAATTAAGGCACAAAATGTGGCCAACAGCCTGAATGCTGTAACTCATCAAATTGCCACCAGATACATCAGTGAGAGATTAAATATCTTAGTGAGCTGTTCACAATTCACTATGTAATCAACTAGAAACCATGTATCCGACCTCTTTCATTACAGATGAAGAAACTGAGAGCAAAGAGGTTAAGTGATTTGCCCAGAAACAATACAGTCCTGAAGGCTCAGGTGACCTGGCTTCTTAGGAGCTATAAATCCTTTAGCAAGTGGGATTCCAACATTCAGAAAGAAAGTGAAATGAAATGTAAGTGAAACGGAAACTCCTACCCACACTAACTGAAACAAGAAAAGCCTGTGCGCCCAGAGTCTAGACCCAGGACCTGCTTTTCAGGTTTTCCCTTTGGCACTGCCTAGAAAACGGCACACTTGAGCAATTGGCCCTGACTTTATGGAATACACCCTGTATCAGTGAGACCCATGAGAAACAAGCAATGAGACGTGAAATACATTTAAGCCCACGAAATCAATCCCTTTCATGTTCACACTATATAAAAGTCAATTGAACTTACTTCAATATTCTCCACAATTCTCGTTACTACCGAGGCAGTGACTGAATACCAGTAGGATTCCCCTTTCTGCTGGCGTTCATTCTACAAAGAAAAGAACCAGCGTTAGTGGAATGCAGTGCTCTGCTCCCTTCATGAGTCTCACCACGCTGCTCTACGCACAAAACGATCTCTATCTCTGCCTTGCCTTCCATTTTTCCTCCAGGGCTTGAAGCAGAGCTTTCTTGCGTTCCCTTTCCAACAGCTTCTCCTTTTCATCATTGAAATCCTGTATTTTTTCAGGGGCTCCAATTAAGTGAAGGCTGGAGATGGAGATCACCCAAGGATCCACATGGGGGCGATAGAAGGGAATCTGAAGGGTTACTTTCCCAATTAAACCTGGGAAAAGAAAAGTCTTGTTAAGTCATGTGCTTTATTTCATATGTGGNATAAACCTGTATTTACAAAAACAGGCAGGGGGCCGGCTAGGCCCACAGGCCACAGTTTGCCAACCCCGGGTCTAGGCTGGTCCACCTGGGTTCGGGAACTGGCTCCACCACTCACTTCCCGTCTCTGCACCTCAGTGTCCTCAGCTGTAATAGGACGATAAGAGTGGTGGTGAAAAGTAACGAGAATTCAAAGCACTAAGAACAGTGCCTCACACATAAAAGGCCTCCTAAGATGTTAGTTTTCATTTGTTTGTTTGAACTTCACCTCAGTAACATGAAAAGAAAGGAAAAAAGTTTCAGGGGAGCGCACTGGGCAGGTGGAATATAATGGGATCATTCTGGTTACTAGACAAACCTAAAATGCCCTAGAGTCGTCCCATAGGTAGTTAAAGACCATGCATGTGAAGGTCAGAAGGGAGGAGGAAAACCGCCTTCAAGTGGAGCCATCGGTAAATATCTCAACATGATAGCTGAAATGATGAAACAGAATAAGTTCACCCAGTTACATAGTATGAGAAGAAAGCCAAAGATGAAATCCTTTCTGCACCTCTGTTTCTTCTCTTCGTGTATACAAAGAAAGGGGCTGCACCAGCATTTAATGGATGAGTGAAGTAACGAGAGGTGTGAGAAAATTAACTGTTTCCCTTTTTCGGCAAATTAGATCTGTTGCACACAGACGAGAGACACACATGCCAGTAAAACAACACAGTGGAAAGAATGCGATCTCATTTATGTAAGGCAGAATGACAAAAGGCAGAGCCCCAAATTCCCAAGAACTCCTGCTTCCGCCCTGGTTCAGTCAGAGTTCATACTCACAGGCTCATTCACAGCATTTTGCATGGACACGTTCTTAATGCAGATGCCAAACGCGAAAGGATGGGAAGGATTGGTGACACCATCTTCGAAGCGCAAGTGGACATCCTGAATCTTTAACTGCAAAAGGGAGAAAAAAGAAGAGCGTCCGACAGCTGCTACAGGCGGAATACCGCAAGAGGAGTCAGGCTGCCCGGCCACGTGTACATTACTGCCACGTTTTGTACGGACACATTGGACACACATCCAATGCTCTTCCAGTTCCTCAGGGAGTTA